TGCACATTTGCTTCCGAACTCCCTCGTAACTTCAGCTCCAATTGGAGCTGAACCAGCATTTCAAAATGACGTTCAATTCCTTTGCAACATCTTTTCTAACCCTCCTTGCAACATCTCTTCTACCCTTCGATTCCAATCAACATTCCAACATGAAGTTTAAAATTCCCTCCGACCTACCCTGCAACTTCAGTTCCAATTGGAGCTAAACCACCTTTTCAAAATGACGTTCAATTCCTTTGCAACATCTTTTCTAACCCTCCTTGCAACATCTCTTCTACCCTTCGATTCCAATCAACATTCCAACATGAAGTTTAAAATTCCCTCCGACCTCCCCCGCAACTTCAGCTCTAATTGGAGCTGAACTACCATTTCAAAATGACGTTCAATTCCTTTGCAACATCTTTTCCAACCCTCCTAGCAACATCTCTTCTACCCTTCGATTCCAATCAACATTCCAACATGAAGTTCAAAATTCCCTCCGACCTACCCTGCAACTTCAGCACCAATTGGAGCTAAACCACCTTTTCAAAATGACATTTAATTCCCTCGCAACATTTTTTCCACCCTTCCCTGCAACTTCCCATGTAACCTTCCTCTGAACTTCGATTCCAATCAGCTCCTCAACTACAAGTGCAAAATTCCTCCCGACCTCCCCCGCGCCGCTTCAGCTCCAATCTCCCTTGCAACCACCATTTGAAATTCCCTTTCAACTTCCTCGCAGCCTCTCCTGCAACTTCCTCTCCAATCTGACGCGAAACCCCATTGCAAATTCCCTTCCAGCCTCCCTTGCAAGTTGGCTGGTAACCTCCGTTGCAACCCGGTGCCGTGAAGGTAGACCCGCGCACCTCGGGGGCTATGTCCCACTTCCGCGGCGGGCGCGACGGAGAGAGAGACTAAGAAAGACCGCGAGTTGGATAAGGACGGAAAAAACTCGCCGGCCGAGAGAGCGAGCGAGACCGGTGAGACCGAGAGAGAGAAAACCGAATCAATAAACCTACGATCTCCCGGTACACCCGCCGCTCTGCCCTGCACCTACTTACGTAACTAGGCGAGTCGCGATGCCGCTCTCGTCCGCGATACTTCTCCCGTGCTCTTATCCCTAAATCAAATTAAAATAATATCAATTGACCCTAAATTAGCCATAAGGTGATATGAAAGGATCAATCTACACGTATCTAAGCGCCATTACTGATAACAAAGGGTCGATTGATATTATTTTTATTTTATTTACAGGCAGGGAAGAAAATGGAAAAAGTAGTCAGGTCGGAAGCAACATTAAGTTGATATAAAATTATCTACACGTATCAAAGCGACGTTAGTGATAATAAATTGTCGTTACTTCTTCCTTGTATTTTAATAAAATAAAAGTAATATCAATTGACCCTTCATTAACAATACGCTGATTTTTTAAATCAATTACGTAATAAAATTGACGGTCGTTTACTCAAACGTTAAAAAAAAAAAATAATAAATAATTGTACCTGCACCCCGACAGGTGCGCGTTATCTTAATGATGGGGGGCTTCATCCCCCTCAATTTTTTCCTATGGGGGAGGGGACAATACCGTCTGCTCTGAATTTCGATCGAGGGGGAAGAATCCATTGTCCTTCCCCGGATTTTTCCTTACACCCTTCGTTATCCTTATCGCGTTCCTTCTACGCGCTCGACCGAGTGCTGCACCCGATGTTCTCTTCCTTTTCTTTTTTTTTCTCCACATTTTTCATTTTGATATACTTCACCCCTCGTGACTCTTTCTGGTCATCGATGGTTGTCACGTGGAAAAAGGAGTCACGTGTTGGTTTTCAATTGTGAAGGACGTGGGTCTTATCAGAGCCTTGATACGATATTTTCTAAGGGATTAGAAGATTAATACACTGTTGTAAAAATTAGAATATTTTTTTTCATTTGTAACAGTGTGCACGGAAAAATTGCGCTTCTGCTTTTAACCTCCTAAATGTGTCTCTAAACGGCACCGAAATTCGCGATTGCGATAAAAACTCGTCCACGAGGGAGAAAGATTCTCGACGAATCTCGAAACTCGAATCTCGACGTCGAGACGAAACGCGCAGGAACGCAAACGGTTCCGCATAGGACAAAAGTCTCTCCCGACTCGGCTTTTTAATTGCGCTTCTCTCCTTTCTCGTCCCTCCTTTTATTCCGCACTGTATTTCTATCTGCCTCTCTCTCGCTCCTCAGTAGAGTCGCAGCGAGAGCGAGAGAGAAGAAGCGAGACAGCGCCCTCTACTTTTCCCGGGCGTCTTCGAATTTCTCGAGCACCCACGATCCGACACCCTTGGAATGTTTAAGAAGCTTTCCAACGGGGCTCCGAAGGGACATCTCCCTCTCTTTTCCACCTTCTCTCTTTTTTCTACCCTGTAAAATTCTCCTCCCATCTCTCTCCGACGACCGCGCGTCCGCGCGTCTGAGTTGCTCCACCTCGGCTAAAGGAAGTCTCGTTTCTCCTCTCCTATGGTGTTCAGCTGGTATTTTCTTCTTGTCCGCTCTTTATCTTCCGTGAGTCTACCCATCTCTGCCGGCTTGACTAATTTCGTGATCAGATGGGGCCAGGAGAAAGAGAAATATATGCGAGACGGTGAAGGGGTTCGGAGGTGTCATGGCGGCCGGAGAGTTTCAAGTGAAGCGAGTTGATTCGATTTACTTTGAGGACACTGGTGAGTTTTTTCGTCGTTTGCGAGATGTCCGTTCCTTGTAGGGTCAGCTTTTCTTTTTTTTTCAAATTTACGGGAGCGCGAGCTTGAACGAGCTTCAAAGGTGTCGCTATGTCTGGGAAATTTGAAGCGGAACCAGACACATTATCGATTTTTTTTGGAATTTCATTCTATCGACGTCGATTAAATTTCTCAGCGCCTTTCATATCGTCTTCACCCCCACTAATTTCAAATAAATTCGAAAAAAGAATAGTATCGAAATAGTAGTACAGATGAATTTCATTTTATCGACGTTGATTAAGGCTCATTAATTTCAAATAAATTCGGAAAAAAGTTAGAAGCGAAATAGTAATACGAATGAGTTTTATTTTATCGACGCCGATTAAGCCTCACTAATTTCAAATAAATTCGAAAAAAAGAATAGTATCGAAATAGTAGTACAGATGAAATTCATTTTATCAACGTCGATTAAATTTCTCAGCGCCTTTCATAATCATCTTCACCCTTACTAATTTCAAATAAATTCGAAAAAAAGTATAGAATCGAAATAGTAATACAAATGAATTTTATTTTATCGACGTCGATTAAGCCTCACTAATTTCAAATAAATTCGGAAAAAAGTAAGAAGCGAAATAGTAGCGAGGTGAAAAACAATCATGGCGGGCGGGGAAGTCGAACCGAGCCTTACATTCGATTTTCTTTGGAAAAGACGAGCTTCCGACTGGAATATGGAACTCGTCGTCGTTGCCGGTCACGTAACGCCGTTACCGCAGCTCGTACTTCCGCCATCCCGGGAATTTCTCACCGAAGCGAACGTTCGAAATAATTAAATCGGTACGCAGGAAGAAGAGGGTACCGAAGTATCTATTCGAAGAGGGGAATAAGTATTGAAAATACGGGATATACCGAGGAGATGGGACGCCGCTTCGAACCGGAAAAGCAAATAACGTCGTTGGAAATAACTGCTGGGAGGAAGTCTTAAATCTTAGGAGTATTGAAGATACAGAGAGAGTTGTACTACAATCGATGGTACAATATAGCGACTATATGCGGAATAAATTGAGTGTACTACGTATCATTTAATATATGAGATAGAATATACGAGGTCGATAAATTGAAATTCATCAATACACTTTTTGGTGGATCCTAAAATAGTACCATAAGCTGACGCGTTACCGACATTTATATTTATTTCTAAGTCTTTTACAGTCCACGTTGAGAATGATACGAATTTAAGCGTTCCCATGCCATTTCGGTAAAGTAATGATGAAGAGATCGACGTAAAACTTAACGTAAAAAAAAAAAAAAACGGGGATTCAATATTCTAACGACTGTTTAGGACCGACGTCGCCATCTGTGAGGTTTAGCTGGAACTAAATTTCTGCTCTAAAAAATACGTGTTAGCCCCGACAAGCCAGCACTCTCTTGCAATACTAGTTTAAAGTATTTTTCTATATCGTTCTATATCATCATTTTCGCTTCCAAGCCTCCGAGAAGCGTAAAACATCGAAAACGTGCCCGGGCGCCGCCATGTTGGTTTTACTCCATGATAAATAACCAAAGTTTTGGTTTTATATATGTATATATATAAAGGCTGACTCTTTCGTATCCACATTGTCAAAATCACCGATATCCGTTAAGTATATAGAAAACATAAGACAATCATTAGTACGACGAGAAGTCATTTTCGAGTCGCATTTCCACAACAGTTGGTACAGAAAACGAAAAAAAAAAGAAAAACAGCCTCCCGACTTTCCCGACAACCTAATACTTTGCGCAACAAGGGTCGTCGCAATTTTCCGGAGTTACTCCATTCACGTCGACGGTGGAGGCCTCTCTAGAAGCCCTGTAGAACCTACACCCCTCTCCCCGAAAATAACGAGGTCCGTACGTAACCTAAAGCAGAGGTACCGCGGAAGAAAATCGCATTACGCGAAACGCGACTCGCGGATTTCACCTGGATCCTACCTGGTCCCGTTAATGCGGGTCGCAAGGAGGTTCGCACTCCCCCTCGCCCCCCTGCCGCCGGCCCACCCTCCCCCTGCCGAGAGCCGCTCGCAATTCGCTTACGCGACGCCGGGAGTATGCGGGTAGTCGGTTTCCCGGGAGGGGATTGGCGGGGCCGGAGGGGTGGGGTGGGGTGGGGAGCAGCCGCAAGCTCGAAAGTTCGGAAAAACCCGGGGAGGGGGTCACCTAGGCGCGGGCGCCGCGGGGCCAGGGGGGAAACGGTCTGCGCAAGCTCGTACCCTCCCTCGCGCCGATAGGGGCGGAGCTTACGACTCCGCCAATGCATGTCGCAAGCTGGAGCTTCAGTCCTTTCAGGGCCGAACCGGCGCGCCGTGGTTCGCGCCGTGGTCCGCCGCGTACTGAGGGACCCGACCCGATCCGACCCGACCCGACCTCTCCCCAGGGCCGGCTGGGAAAATGAGACTCAAGTCGGACACCCTCCGCGGATTGGACGAGGAAATTCGAAAGATCGGGTGAAGAATCTGACGGTGAGAGAATTTCGGCCCGTGGGGATGGGTCCTGCTTGCGTACTTCGGCATGGGGTGTGGGAATGGTTTTTGAGTTCATGGAATGTATGGGGGGGGATGTAATCGCCAATGTCGGTTCTGGGAGGGGGGTTGGAATTTTACACACACTCGTTTTTGTTATTTCGACAAGAGAACGGTTACTTCACCTATTCTAATTCTAGTAGTAGTTGGAATATCTCTTCGAGGAAATACGAACTGTGCATCACTCGTTCGGTTCAACAGGGACGAGAGTTTTTCTTTTGGCTGTTGCAGGGAATTTATTTGATTATTTGGCAAGCTTGTTTCTGTTGAGAAAGCTCGCTAATTGTTATGTTGACGATTTGATGTGGTTGAAGATATTTTTCCTGGTGGGATTATTCCTGCGGGAAGAATAAGACTATCGGGATTGATGTCCTTTGCTGAAGGTGCAGATGACTCTTTTCTCGGGGCACGGTCGAGATTGTAAACATCGCAGGGTCACCTTAAGGTCCCCCGATCGCTCCGGCTCAGTCGTTCGGTGACCGGCAAGCCGTGCGGGCGAGTGCTCCAGTCGTCGAGTGTCTGTGTCGAGGCAAGTTAAGTAGTGTTAACTCTGCGGTCATATTTTCTGTAAGCACCATAAGGTGATATGAAAAAGGGTCTTACTATGTACGTCGAGACGTGAAAATGTTTACAAAACATTTCTCCAAGCTGCGGGATAATATTTCCTCGAATGGGAGCATAGAGATATTTCGTTGATTCAAAGAACTCGAGGGAAATAAACTCGAATGAATTAGATGCAACATTAATTCGGAATTATAACAATTTATTTGAGTTAAATAATTATCCTCTGTATTAGGAAAATATTTCTTTGGTTCCATTACACTTTTTTCCCCCTCAGGGTAGACGTAACCATTAGAGAGCTTTCATTAGGAAAAATGCTTCCTAAAGTAGCGAAAGAATTTCTTCGTAACAGCCGAAAGCTTATTTTCGTCCCTGCTAGAACAAATGAACGAAATAGGATTTGTTGTCGTTGAAAAAGATCATTGCAACCGTGAATGGAACTTGCGTTGACCCGGTAAAATTATTGACGCTCTCCTCCCCGGTATAACAGAAGGGTCGCTGGACAATTGTTTTGCCGGCCCATATTCGGGGGTTCACGTTTGTAGAAGTAAAATTTCTCGCTGTGGCTGTGAATTCTTTTCAGCTCGATGGGTCGCAAAAAATACCGATCGGAAGTTCCTGGATCGATGAAAGGCGGCTCATGGAAGTCATTTTCGGTTCCAGGTCGAATGTAAGTGCGCGCGTTGTCGGAGTGCGTGAGTGCGTGAGGATACACCGAGCCAACCGGCCTCGAGGAGCACCGGGAACCCGCGGACAGTGTCCCCGAGAAGAAGTTAGATCATGGAGGCGTCCGGGCCGAGGATCGTCGCTTGGGGGCTGATCTTGTGCGTCTTGGTCGTCCCGCCATTCGGTGAGTTCCACTTTGAGTTCTCCTTTCGCTATCTTCTTTCGCTCTTTCACAGATGGAATACCATCCCTCACATATACCCTTAAAATGAAGTGAAACCCCCTTAAATCAGTCGATTCGAATACAACACTTTTTTATAAGGGTATTGGACCAAACTGTCTGAAACTGACACGTGACTCGTGATCCTCTAAGAAATGTCCTGACACATTGAAAATTTGTATTTTCAACGAAAATCAAACTATGCAGCTTCTTAAAAAAAATCGTTTTTTTTTTGGTAAGGAGATTTAGTTGAAATCATATAAGCAGAAAATATCAATGCTGTAATTTTGATCATAATAAGCACCTTTTATCGCGAGAAAAATGGTTACATGCGGTTGCTGCCGTTCCGCCATTTTGTTTCTCTTCCGAGGAGAGTATTAAATTGAAATCTTATTTACAGAAGGTATGAATACTCTAATTTGGATTTTTCAATGTAGCTTTTATCGCAAAAAGTGGTTATTTTCAGACCGCCGTTTCGATTGTTTTGAAATTTAAACTACAAATTTGAAATCAGCGACTCAAGGAACCTTAAATTCGTCATAGTTTGACAAATTTCTACCTTTTGTGATTTTTCGCTAGGATTTTTGGATTCTAGCCCACTGTAGTCACTTTCTCCGGGGTTTTTGCGAGAGTCTGGTGCACCGTCCGACTCCTGATGAGGGCGCCGTTATTGCTGGCGCCCTCGTCGCCGGGAATGCGAATCATTTTGGGACGTCGGACGTATTTTATCACTAGGGAGGTTTACAACGTGCGAGCTCAGGGCTTCTCGCTAAGATCGATCGTTATTGCCGCGAGTTTCCTCGGTCCGCGGCCATATTTTCCCGCCCGTCGGCGGGTGTGCCGGGCTGTTTCGAAACTTGGAACCGATTAGAATGTAAATGCCGGCCCTGGCGAGCCGCGTCGCGACCGGAATGACTTTCCGAGAGCGCGCCTCGCCTCGGGGATTGCGTAATGGCCGCGGCTCGCGTGGCCTGCTTTTTCCCTCGAACTTTCACTCGCCGACTCGCTGTCGGGCCTCGTGAGGATTCGCGCTTTCGCGATTCAAATCGGACCCCGAGGCCTGGGAACGCTTAAGGTGATGTGAAACCCCCCCTCAAATCAGTCGATTCGAATACATTTTTAGTTTTTTAAGGGCATTGGACCAAACTGTCCGAAACTTCGTGACACGTGATCATTCAAGAATTGTCCTGACATATTCGAAATTTGGATTTTTCAAAATAATTATTTAATTTAGTTCAGAATCAAAATGGCGTCGAGCTCCCATATTTCGATCGATATACAATTATTGAAGGCTCTGATATGTGCCCATAATTATGAAAGTGGTCTAAGTCAAAATAAAAAAAAAATGAGTTTATCAGTTATTTCACGCCATATTATTTCGAACGAAATTAATTCAATGTAATTTCGAAACAAAAAATATATGACTTAGACCACTTTCATAATTATGGGCACATATGAGGAACGAAAGGGTCAGGACAATTTAACGACAATTCAGAAGAATCTTGTAATCGAGAGACTCCACTCAAATTAGTCGATTCGAGTACATTTTTAGTTTTTTAAGGGCATTGGACCAAACTGTCCGAAACTTCGACTCGTGATCATCTTAGAATTGTCCTGACATATTCGAAATTTGGATTTTTCAAAATAATTATTTAATTTAACCTAGGACCAAAATGGCGTCGAGCTCTCATATTTCGATCGATATACAATTATTGAAGGCTCTGATATGAGAAACGAAGGAAAGATATGAGAAACGAACGTTTAAGGTTAAGTGAAACCCCCCTCAAATCAGTCGATTTGAATAAATTTCTTTTTTTTAAGGGCATTGGACCAAACTATCCGAAACTTTGAACACGTGACTCGTGATCATTCAAGAATTGTCCTGACACATTCGAAATTTGGATTTTTCAAAGTAATTATTTAATTTAGTTCAGAATCAAAATGGCGTCGAGCTCTCATATTTCGATCGATATACAATTATTGAAGACTCTGTTATGAGAAACAAAAGGGTCAGGACAATTTAAATACATTTATATTTTTTTAAGATGATAATGATAATTATCTTGTGAGTGAAAGTGCCAAATCGCCCCTTGACACGCCTGACTTTGGATGGTGGTTTCACTCCCTTAAAGTGTTTAATGGCAGATAAAAAAAAATACGTGTCGCTTAGTTTTTAGTCTACTATGACATATTGTAAAAGAAATGAAATCGGAGAGATCGATCTGGGATACCTTCCTTTAAGAGAAGACACGGGTGGAGATGGACGTCGGGAAGACCTTCGAGGACCGGCGGTGGGGAGCCGGGGGGATTTGAGGAATTAGTCGGCTTCGAGCGCGGAACATTGTTTCTGGAGATATCCTCCTGTTCAAATTGCGAACGTTTAGCGGCTTATCCGGATTACCGGTTCGCTCCCTCGGCGTGGCCGCCACCGGCAAGAGGGTGGAAGTTGTGCGCGAAAACGTTGGGGCGAGCCGAGCTTCCTTTTCCCGGAGGATACTGCGCGCAGGTCCTGCGGGATAATCCGCCTCGGGGACCGCGCCGAGTCGTGGAACCAGAAAGGCTCCACGACGACTGCACCGAAATAAAGAAATTCAGCGAACCAAGAAAATTGTAGATTTTCGTAGACACGTGATTTTAAGTGACAATATCATTTTTAGAATAGATGCACTTGTATTATGCCAAATAAATAGTACAATTTGGCAGCGATATCTGATTTGAGTATTAAACATATTCGCGACCGGCACATTTTTTTCCGCTTCAAATACTGAGTACCGGCGAAAATAATAAAATAATGAAATTTTGCAACTGGTTGCCGCAAATTTGTATCGTGTATCGTTATGGACGTGATTCACGTCAGCGGCAACCAGGAATAGAATTCGAGAAGACGTGAATTCACGTCGCGAATGTGTTAATAAAATGAAAGTACTAACATATTTGGCAAAAATAGTCGATTCATATTTCTTACTAAAATAAAACGAAAAACGTTCTGAATTAATTTTGCAATCCTAGAAAGAAACAAGAATGTATCTGGCGAAGTCTTTTTTATAACTTTAACGTTATTAAAAAAACCAGCTACCTCGGCAAACTGTAAACAGGGGGTCAATTTTCGGAACTTTAATTTTTTTTTTCTTCTTTTTTTTTTTTAAATCAGAGAAGCCAGATCTATTAACGACAATTATCAGGATTCGAGTGATGAGTAATCACTGCTCGTGATTTGAGGAAAATGTCTCTGTTATGATGATAGGAGGGATTCTGGACGGAATCCTTCCGAGAAGACTGAACGCGTGGATTCTCTTATTCGAAAGGTTGGCTTCGTCAAGGTTGGCCATCCTCGTTCTCAGACAGAATAAGAGAGGGGAAGAGAGAAAGAGAGAGACGCAGAGGGGAGCAGTCTTTCGGCCCAGGGACGTCGATTTAGCCTTCGGAACTTTAACCGGTCCTTTTTTAGCAGGATTCGCTATTCCACTCCATCCTTTAACAAAGGGGAACCGGAACTTAAGGTGTTATTATAGTCACATGTCACATGTATTTGACAAAAAGTCAAAGTATATAACTTTTCTCCAAACTGGGTGCACCGAATAATGTTAAACTTTAACACGCGATTGTGGAGGTCCTTATGAAGGTCCTGAGACTCGCGAAATTTCATATTTCGAACGAAAGAAAATGTAGTTACCTCGGATAAGAAAAAAGAGACATTTTTAATCATTATTTGAAATCAGTTTCAGAGTAAATTTTGTTGTTTTCCGTCGTACTCTAGATTTTTCTGGCTCCGTCTAAATCGCAGGAAATTTCTGCTCAAGTTCGCCTTCTTCTCTTTTCCTTGTCTCTTATCACTCTTTGCGATGCACGGAAACGATATCGAGAGCAACCTCAGACCGCACGTCTCCGGGTGCACTGATAACGTCAAAATTAACCTCTTCCTGCGGGATGACGCATATTCGTTTCAGACCTCAGATTTCATTCGATAAAATCTCATTTCACTGAAAAATACAACGCATGCAATACGAAACAAATACAAGAAACCTGATTTCTAGAATTTTGAAGTTTATCCCACAATTAGTATCTTTTTTCTTCACTCTCATATCATTCCTTGTATGTATCTTATATCATTCCTCTCTCGATCCCGTTCGATCTCGATCAATCCGATTCGATATGATCAAATTTCACGAACAAATACAACAGCTGCTCAAAACAAATAATTGGATGTACGATTTCTCGAATTTGGAAATCTGTCGCAGAATCAATGTCTTCTTATTGCGCTCATATGCCGTTCGCTTTCGCCGACATCATTCGATACTATTCGCTACCATTCGATACCATTCGATACCATTCGATACCATTCGATACCATTCGATACCATTCGAGCGAGCGCCCGGTAATCCGAGGCTCGAAACGATCGACGCGGACGCGCTCGTCGAACCGGAAGTAATCCCCGATCGAAGGGAGATATTGGGGAAAAAAAGGAAAAAAAAGAAAAATGCGAAACTACCGGCATACAAGTACATCGATATCCGTACGTGCATTAACCGACAAGGACAGACGTATCGATGTGCACAGACCTACGCGCCTCTATATTTCCGCTCGCAATCCGCGCACTTGACGTTAGCCCGCCGTTTCGAAAAGCCGTTTCGAAAGGCCGTTTCGAGGAAAAGTTTCGCCAACTCCCGCTTGTTCGCCGGGAAAAGAGGAAATGCCTGGAAAAATGTCCCGTCGACTCGAGGAAAATGTCTGACCAAAGCGGGCACTAATCTACTGCGACTAAGGTGATATGCAAATGTGATATACACATAAGGAAAACGTCAAAGTAGTGATAACAACTTATCTCCAAACTGAGTGCACCGAAGAAAGCGATGCTCGCGAATGTTCAATTTTTTATTAAAAAAAAATGTGATCTTGGCTCTAGTCTAGGGTAAATCGAAGAAGTGTTTTTTTTTTTAAATGACATTTTACGAGGATCGCGTTCT